GGTTTCCCTTGCTGCTACTGTCTGACCTTGACAAAGATTAGGCATTTGAAAGAGTAATACAAACAACTGAGACTTCTTTGAAAGGAATTAAGGAAGATAAAACAAGATGTTGATGTTTTCAGTTACTGCAATGTTGCATTTGCCAGTTACCAGAAGGACATAAGTGGTCTTTCCATTGTACCCAAAAGCCTCAGACCTTCACAGCTGAACCTATAGAAATGATATTATCTATCTAAATTACATATATAGCCTGCTTTTTCTCCAATGAATTTGAGGCAGTACGTATTATTACTCTTCTCATTTTTCTTCCACAGTAATCTGTTAGGTAGATCAATCTGAAAGGGGATCTAAGGTCCCAATTCCTTATTTCAACTTTCCAAGGCATTTGGCTAAAAGTTTGGCCACCTACTTGAAATTCAGCTATTTCAGTAGCTATATGAGCTAAACCTTGCTAAACATTCCTTTCTGCAGAAAGTATTTGTATTTTTTCCACCAAAACAGAGATCTCTTTCATGTTGCATGGCTGGCCAGACATATGTTAGGCATGGAATATTGATTAGGACAGATGTTTCATTTACCTGTTTGGGAATTGAAAAAATCATATGTCAAACTTTCTTGCCATCAGCTCACCAAAACCAGCTCGTCCTTCCACCCCTACCAACCCTTCAAAGTTTGCCAAAAAGTTTGGTGATGTAGAGAAATGCCCTCGTTGTGGGAAGTCAGTATATGCAGCAGAGAAGATCATGGGAGGAGGAAAGGTAAGAACCCAGCCAACCATGTGCTTCCTTATAGCAGTGAGTCAGCTGCCCAAACAGATGTTGGTTCTCCATCTTGTATCATCAAGGGAATGGTAGTGAGCTGCTTCATGTTCTGAGTTCATGGACACAATAAAGGCAACAGTAAAGGTCTGATTTTCTCCACTTACCTGGAAAGCTGATGTTGTTGAATTTAGTGGGATGTACTCCTGAATAAATATGCATAGGATAGTATGGCAAAATAGGGACAAGTCACTGCAGTGCCTGAGGTGAAGGACAATTTGGGCCCTTTCTCATTACATGCACCCAATTCAGATGTATTAGCAGCTAAGTAATTAGCAGCTGGGAATTTAGGGGGAATGTCCTGATATGAGTGAGGCGATCAGACTAGTTCAAATGATTTGGGAGGAGCTGGGTGACAGAGGAACAACTGAGGAATCCTAGAGTGACAAGGACAGTACTACTGCTCTCGCCCGGAACCTGCTACGCAAGAGGTCCTGGGCACACTTTGTCTAATGTTAGGGCAAATTTCTAGTATGTACCACATGTTAAATCCTGTAATTTTTGTGTAAAGGATACTTACAGCTCACTATTCTTTTGCTGCCCCAATCGTAGAACTAGGTGAGTCAAGTGCAACCAAAAGCATGTGGACCCTTTTGATGTCCCACACCTTCTAATCCCTACCTTTGCTCTTTTCTGGACAAAATAGGATTGATCTCTAAGAAGGTTCCAGGAGGAGCAATATTCTTTTAAAGAGGTTGCACCAAACCAATCCGGGGGGGGGGGGGGGGGGGATTTTGGCAATTTGTGTGAGCTTGAGTAATCTCCAAGGAAGAAAACTGAGCCCCAGACCTACTGAAATGATAACACCCTTTTGCTTTCTGTTTCAGCCATGGCATAAAACATGCTTCCGATGTGCTATTTGTGGAAAGAGTCTAGAATCTACAAACGTTACAGACAAAGATGGAGAGATCTATTGTAAAGGCAAGTGTAGTAGCATACCTAAACTATATTTCAAATAATCATTATTAAGATGCAGTCTATAAAGAGTTGTGCTAGATCACTCTTTTGGGGGAGGGGGGATATTTAAGAGTGTAAATCTAGTGGAACGCAATAGTCTGAAACAAGTAGTGGGTTTAGTTAGTTAAAACATACCTATAATACAATCCTGTGCAAGGAAGCATGTAGAACAATTATTTGAACAATTATTTTCTGCAGGTGGACCTAAATGGGCACTATTTTGTCATACAATCTAAAAACAGGCACAGGGAAGCAAAAGAGAAAAAGGTACTGTTTTATTATCTGGGCAGAGGCCACTAAGGAACACTAGAGAGAGGATAGTAAATTTTATTGCATGGGGGGGGGGGGGGAGTTGAAAGGGGAAAGCCATTTCCCCTGCTTTTGCTGGTTCTTCCCATTTCAGAAACAAGGGTTGTTTCCACAATGGGGACATGGGTGGGGGGAATAACAGGGAAACAGGAAGGCATGGTTTTCCTCCTTCAACCCACCCACCACCCCCATAAAATGAACTATCCTTCTCTCTTTAGTGCCCCTTTGTGGCCTCTGCCTGGATAATGGAACAGTACCAAGAAAAATATACTAGAAAATGACGTTACAGCCGCTATATGTACTTTGACTTAGATATGATAGGATATTGGTTATTGCAAAGTCTTCTTAGAAAGAGAGCACTTTAAGGAGTGGCTTAAATCAGGACTGGAAAACCTCTGACAAATGTTTTCCGGGTTCCAGCCCTACAAGCCTCATTCAGCATGACAAAGAGTAGTGACTACACAACACCTGGAGGGCCAAAAGTTGCTAGTGTTGACTAAAAGTAAGGGATGTGTTTTGTGCTGAGCGTGTTTTACCACTATATTTCTTTCTTTTGCAGTTTGCTATGCAAAGAATTTTGGTCCTAAAGGAATTGGCTTTGGTGGCCTCACTCAAGTGGAAAGGGTGGAGTAAGAGATGCCCCACTTAGTCCTGTCCAAATGATAATTATATGGTTAAGGATAAGGCATTGAATACTTTGTTATTTCACTGATGATGTATGCTTTCTTACACTGTAGTACTATGTTTTGGTGCAGGAAAGCATGTTGACAAATATTGTAGGAGGAATTTCTTTCTGAATAAAAAGACAATATTTTCAGGTCTGAACTGGTCACAAAGTTATTTTGGAACTATTTCTGATTGCAGTTCTGTTTACTTTGTCACAGAGTTAACTGCATAGATAGGTTACAGGCTTTTGCTCTTCACCAATGCTAATAAAGCAGAACCTGATTCCTATTGGGAATTCTGTACAACTTTCAATAAAGTGGCATTTTGATGATTTATTGCTATTACATCATGTAGTAGCAATAAATTAAAAGTATTTGATTGCAAGTTGTCCAAATAGTATGTTAAAGTAATGAAAATATTGCTTGTACCAGAACCATCAAGTCTACTTTTTAATATTGCCTTTACTTTTGTAATTATTTCACTCTGAACCACTCATCTTGGCTTGGAAGAAAAGATCATCCCATCTTTTAGTACCTATGTTTTTGAACTCCAACTCTCAGAATCCAGCATGGCCAGTGGCTGAGGGATTGTGGGAGTTTTATTTTTATAACTGTCCCAAACTTCGCACAGGAGTATCAATGAATACCAATCCATTTGTAAATTTGCAGTCTGCTCTGAAATAAAAATGTTTCTAAAGACATTACCACTGAGCATTTCTCAAAGTGTGAATTTAACAGAGGATGATTAACTTGATTCCCTGCAAATGGCTCTGAAATCAGTGCTGTTTAAAGATCACAGGGGAGCACTTTGGATCCCTCCAAACCCGTTTTATCTTCACAGCCACCCTGCACAGTAATATGATGAAAAGATGTTGGCTATCATCCCATTGCAGAAGACACAGCTGTGAGATATAGCTGCCAAGAGGGCTTCATCCAACCTTTTCTCTGCAATAACGCTGCCATTTCTAGGTTGGTGGAAAGTCAGGGAAGCTGTGACGAAAGCCTCCCCAACCCACCTTGTCAGTGCAGTAGTGCCCCCCTCCCAACACAGACATTTCTATATCATGTGATCAGTAATGATGTGTGAAGCTAGTTCCTTGAGAAATTTCTGCAGATGATGTTCTTCCAGCAACTTCAGCAAAAGGGAAGTAGATTAAGCCCATGTTCTTGTGACAGAGAAATGGCCATGTTGGGAAGAAGATGGATACAATACTGAAAAGATGGGTTATTTATTATTTACAGCGCTTTTCTCACCCCAAGGGGGACTCAAAGCGGTTGGATGAGGCTATTAATTATTGCATAATCAGCAAGGAATTGGAACCTGCACAATGATTGAAATAATTCTTGCAATAGCACATATTTAACATGTATGTTGTTCTATGCTTTCAAGTAGTTTATGACCATGCCAATCCTAAATTGACCTTATCACAGTGTTTTCTTGGCAAGACTTGTTTAAAGGTAAAGGTTTCCTCTTGGCATTAAGTCTAGTCGTGTCCGACTCTGGGGGTCGGACACGACTTCATTTCTAAGCTAAAGAGCCGGTGTTGTCCATAGATGCCTCGAAGGTCATGCAGCTAGCATGACTGCATGGAGTGCTGTTACCTTCCTGAGCGGTATCTATTGATCTACTTACATTTACATGTTTTTGAACTACTAGATTGGCAGAAGCTGGAGCTAATAGCAGAAGTTCACCCCTGCTCCCCGGATTTGAACCACCAACCTTTCAGTCAGCAAGTTCAGCAGCTCAGTGGTTTAACCCGCTGCACCACCAGGGGCCTTAAGACTAGTTTAGAGGGGGTTTTACCTTTGTCTTTCTCTCTGAGGCTGAAAGAGTGATTCAAACTCTGGTCTCCGGTCACAGTCCAGTACTCAAACCACTACACCACACAAGCTCTCATGTACGCTGTCGTAATTCTTTAATAGCATTCCAGCTGTAAGCTCTGTTTGATTCAGCTTCAGCTTGAACCTCAGGGTACAAATGCCCTTGGTTTGTGTCAAGCATGGCTGTCATCACTTTACAGCTGCATACAAGCAGAGTTTCTGTTAATCTTAAGAAACAGAACAATCAGCCAAATTCTATGATTGCAGCCTGGAATAAATGTTAAAAGTTTTTACAAGCATTTTGAAAACTCGAATTCTCTCTTTGGCCATCTGTTTCTAAATGCATTACCACAATTTAAATATCATAATTAGTGTACTTATTATTCAGTGTATAAATACGATACTCCTTGAACATTTCAAAAGCCAGCAATAAATACAAAATAGATCTAATTTAATAAATGTGAGCATAAATATATTGGATCTGAGCAGTCTTTATACACAGATTTACAATACAGAGAGAAGTCACTAAAGCTTACAAATTGAGTTTGATATACTGAAATATTTTGACATTTCAAAACATCTTTTATTTTCTTTAATCATCAAGACCAAATATCAAAGGGTGGGCATGTATGAATAATGTACAAGACTTTCAGATTGCTTTATTTTTTAAAAGACTCCTTTCTATTTAAAAAAAAATGTATTTCACAGTTCTATTTCCTTTCAAATGAAACAATCTGAAAACGACATCAGAACTACAATTGTCTTTGCATTATCTATTTTAATACAATTTATACATGTAAACATTACTTTCTTCCCAAATAGAAATGAGAGCTATAGCAAAGGAAATACAAATTTTGTCATAGTCTGTACAGCATATTACAATTTTCTATAAGCTTCCAGCATATCCCACAGGTCGGGTGCAAGTTTTCCTCACACGGAGTGAGTGTTCCACTCTTTCAGTGAGTGAAATCTTAGCGTGTATTGCTTAGTCCAGTCAATTATGTTAGGCTTGAACATCCCAAAGCATCTGCACTGAAAGAAGTCTGCAATGTTCTGAAGACATCCATGGCTGGGAAAGGAGGGAAAAGAAACATAAAATAAAAATGGAAAAGACTTGTTTAATTTATTTAAAAAAACATATACTGAGCCCCAATGGAAATGCATTGGAAGGATCAAATATACGATTTATTCTGTGGAACAATTACATGATGAAATGGACTGTCTGTTTGTGAGACCTGTGCCACAATATACAGCAGTGGTTCTCAACCTGTGGGTCCCCAGGTGTTTTGGCCCACAACTTCCAGAATCCCAGCCAGTTTACCAGGTTCGTATTTCTGGGAGTTGAAGGCCAAAACATCTGGGGACCCACAGGCTGAGAACCACTGATATAGAGCTATATACATATATCCCCCATATGGAGGAGGAGGAGGAGCCTATTTCTATAGGAATTTGGCTTAGGAATAGCCCCTGTATACTCCTATGGTCTTTAGAGTGGTGAAGGTAGGAGTGGAAGTACAGCATTTATCGTCTGAAGAGAAGTTTATCAAAATCTCTGCTACAAAGTATCCCACAAGTTTCCAGAGCAGAGTTTGAGGGCATGCAACGTCTTATTGTGTCAGCAGAAAATCTGCAATTGCTTTCACGCATTCGTTAAAAGGTAAAGATTTCCCCTGACATTACGTCTAGTCATGTCTGGCTCTGAGTGGTGGTGCTCATCTCCATTTTTAAGTCGAAGAGCCGGCGTTGTTCGTAGACACCTCCAATGTCATGTGGCTAGCAGAAGTGGTACCTATTGATCTATTTACATGTGCATGTTTTTGAAGTGCTAGGTTGGCAGAAGCTGGGTCTAACAGCGGGAGCTCACCCCACTTCCCGAATTCAAACCACTGACCTTTCGGTTAGCAAGTACATCAGCTCTGTGGTCACTGCTCAGACTTTTCTCTTCTGCCAGCCCTACCTATTTCAGTATAGAGCCACACTAGCAAAATGCCACAAGATTATGGTCTAAATAACCTGTGGTACACGCATCTTTCTAACTTTGTGTTAAAGATTGCCTCCCACTTCTCACAAGTACTGTATGTTGAGCCCAAGTCAAAATTCTGAACTCTTCACAATGTATATATAACACAGAAAAAATATCCAGGATAAGCAAGTGTAATTTTGCTGAAACAGATTTTAAATAGCAATGTCAATTTCTCCTCTTTCTTACTTTAGAACAAGAGATCCAAAACCACTATATTATGTTATAATACATTAACATTATATTACCTGATCAGCAATTCTGTTATTTTGTAAAAAAGCTAATATTACTTACTTATATGGTGTTTTCCTGAGTGAAACAGGATGCTTTGAGCGCTTACTCTGCTTCCAGAGAGTAATTCTCTCATGAGATGTCAGTCCAAGAAATATAATCTTGAAAGAAAGGGATAAAAAGCAAAACATAAACTAAAATCAATTCAGGAAGGCTATCAAGAGAAATTAAGTATCATTTAATATACTGCCGAATGTTTTCACGGCTGGAATCACTGTTGTGTTGTGTGGTTTCCAGGCTGTGCTAGCATGCTGCTAGAACACGGCCATACAGCCCGGAAACTACACAATACTCTATCACTCAATGTGCCAAGGGGATCCATAATAAAGTATAAAAATGTCATGCATTTTAATTAAGCCAAACAAAACAAACCATTTTTCATTTAAATAGAAAATGGAAGAGAAGGAATTAAACTTAGTACTGATGTTTTAGGGTTTCTTCTGAACTAAGACAACCCTAAAGTAAACCTATCATGAGGTATCCTTGACAAGTTTTGTTCAGAAGGGGTCTGTTTTTGCCTTCCTCTGAGGTTGAGAGAGTGACTTCCTCATTGTTACCCAGTAGGTTTCCATGGCCCAGCAGAGATTGGAGCCCTGGTTTCCAGAATCTTAGTCCAACACTCAAATCACTATACTGGTCCGGGTGTATCTAAATAAATGTGAGAAAAGCTAAAAAAAACTGACATAATGAATCTTATAAAGTGTCATCTGCTGGCTTCCTTTTCTTTTAATGTCTTCCTTGAATTAGCGATGGGACCACACTGGCTTTTTCAGGTATTTCCCATTTTTCTTTTTCCATAGGAGTGTTGGTGACTGTGCTTTCTGTAATTCCTTCTTCAAGAACTACCACTCTTTCTGGGTATCTTCATCCTTTAGCATGTCTAACCAGGGGACTCTGTCCAGTATTTCCTCAAGATCATTACAAACAGAAATCCAAGGTCTGTGTTTGCCTATACCTTTCTTTTTCCAATTGCAAATTCTAGTATAACATGGTCATTTCTTCACAAAGTATTGATTCCATTGACCAATTCTTCCCCAGTGGTTATATATAATCACCTCTTCTTGGTTTGGTGGCCTGGAGTAAACTCCCATTATAATGTTACATTTATTCATTTTTCCATTTATTTTGCCCTAAACGCTCTCATTTGGTCCGCTCTGAACACTCTCATAGGCTTCTATACCACAAAACTTTGTCTTATAATGGCAATCATAGGAGGCATCCGACCAGGTCTCAGTAATACCTGTAAAGTCTATTTACTTTCCTGTACTAGCACCATAAGATCCTCTTGCGGGTCAAGTCTAAGTAAACAGTCTGGAAAAAGATATAGGCCTTATTTCTCAACTCCAAATCAATAGTTTTAGGGACATATTATGACCTCCTTATTACAGGTTCAATAGCCACAGTTTCGTTTACCTATACTCCAAAAGATACCCCCCTCCCTTGCTGACAAGTTTCTGGGCCTTGTGAAGTCCTTCAGTTAGTCAATACTATGTTTCTGGCACACGTTTAATGAAAATATAGAATTCTCCATATTATCCATAGTTTCATGTAGTCACAGAGGTTCTTGGAGAGTACCCAAGGATATGGGTATCACGCTGTATAGGCCTCTGGTTGCTTCTGGAGTGAGAGAATCAACCGTCTACGAAGATGTTGCCCAGGGGTCACCGGGTGTCTTACAATCCTGCGAGGAGGTTTCTCTCATGTCCCCCCTTCTCTCATATCTCTCCCCTGGGCACACAGAACACTGGGCGACTTGGAAGGCGCTGAACAAACTGCACTCTGGCACCACGAGATGCAGAGCCAACCTTAAGAAATGGGGCTACAAAGTGGAATCCACGATATGCGAGTGTGGAGAAGAGCAAACCACTGATCACCTGCTGTAATGCAACCTGAGCCCTGCTACATGCACAATGGAGGACCTTCTTGCGGCAACACCAGAGGCACTCCAAGTGGCCAGATACTGGTCAAAGGACATTTAATCAACTACCAAGCTTGCAAACTTTGTGGGTTTTTTTTTTATCTGTTTGTTTGTTTTGTTCTGTTAGAAATGTAATACAATGGTCTGGTTGCCCCTGACACGATAAATAAATACTGTATAGGCCTGAATCCGACTGATCATTCCCAACTAAAACAGACTTATTGAATCAATAGGATTTAAATAAATGTTGACTGCCCATTCAATGTGTGTCTCCACTTGGAATTCAGGCACAGGGTATCTTATATTACTATACATGCCCAGCCCACATTCATAACCTATATATTTCTTCCCCCTTATTTTGCTCCTCTTTTCTACCCTTTCTTTGAATTAATGGCTGGTATTCTGTTCATTATTTAGGAGACTGTAAGCTAAACCAATAACTTTTGGGATTCATGTTTACAGTATCAATGACTGAACATGACCCTCACACCGTATCTTTTAATTCAGAAAGTTCCTGAGATGCTGCAGACTGGGGCACTGGGAAACAACTGCGGTGCTCTCCTAGTTGTGGGGTGTGTTGATGGCAGCAGTTGAGGAAGAACCTGCAAGGTCACTCCAGCTGTCTGTCCTCAATGCATCCTGTGATAGAGTGCTGCAGTCCTTATTCCCCAGGTCCTGGATGCGCAACACCTCAGGTTCCTGGCTAGGTGAAAAGGTAGGGTTTTGCGGAGAGGATCAGCATAGATAGAAGTACCTATGCCACTGGAAGCTTCATTGCTGTAGCAATTTCTGCCAGTGCTAGATTTTGGCCAATATGTTTAAAATGTTAATTATGTATATGCAACACTAATTTAGACTCCTGAGGAAAAATAACTAAAGTATAATGTTTTTAAGGAATAAATAAAACCAAATAGTACCTGGTAAAGCTGGAGGACTAGCAGCAAAGTAGCCCATGAAATATGAAAACATACAATAGTGAAAATGTACAACACCCAAGGAGAACAAGACACAATCTGCGTGAATGAAGTCCATGCTCCATCTTGCTGGTATGTTGTTGTGCAGTGTTCTGACCAATCTAAGAGAAGATATATTTAATATTAACTTCAATAATGCATTACTTTTTTAAAAAACCCAATGATAGTGAATTCTGCAGAAGCCCCAGTTTCTCAACTTTCTCAGTCTACTGTCCATACATTTAAATAACCTCCAGATAATGGAGGGTGCAGCTCCCTTATTGTGCCCAGGGTCAACACTCTCTCTGCAGCAAAATTCTCTGAACTGAGAATAAAGATGCATCCTAAAATATTGTTCTGTATGTACAGGATTTTCTTTGTTCTACTACCCTGTTCTCTAACTATGTGCATGCATGCACATGACAAGCTTCCAAATAAGACCTTTTATCGTGTAATTACCCTAAGTAGATTTCAAAGGGGTCCAAACAGCATCACCTTCTGTTGATAAAAGCCAAATTTCTCCACTGCTTCCACCATCTTTTTTATTACCAGAAAAATAAATTAAGGAAGGAATGAAAGAATAACAATGCTTTTTGTTGAGTAGAACTAAAAGCAATTTGTCCAGAAACACATAGGTTTATTTTTTTCTGAATACAATCCTTCATATCCCAGGATAGAATTCAAGCTCACTAATATTTTAGTCAGAGCATGATGCAATATATGAACTTCTAAATGAACTACCACACAAACGGAATCAGAGCACATTAGTTTCTAGCAAAATGAATAAAAAAATAAGAACAAATACCTACACAGAATTGTTCCATATATAGCCCAAATATTCACAATGGTCAAGAAGATAAGAAACAGGAGGAAATAAGAATGATTGCCAACACCTAGAACATAAAATGTGATGGAAGATCTATTTGAATTGCAGTGATAAGACAATATCAACCCCCCTGCAGCAACCACACCACCTCCCAAATCATGGCAATTTTAAAAGAGATTTAATATATGAAAAGCTGAGCATACATAGTTATTTTGAGTATATCAAAGCACCATTAAGAGACAGATATGTGCAGTGCAATCATATCTGTGTTTTCTGAGAAGAAACTCCCACTGTGACCAGTGAAGCTTATTTAAATGAGTGTGTACAGCACTGCAGTTTAACACTACAATTATGAATTCATAATAAACCTAGAATTAACATACAATTCAAGCTGAGATCTTTAAACAATATCTAAGCTGTGCAAATGTCATTGAAAACAACAGTGTAAATGCTACCCAAAACTACTGTGTTCTTCTTGTACTGCAATATATGGAGCTGAACATTTTTGCAGTTCCCATTGAAGCTTGTCAACATCCCTTCACCTAACACTCAACCAGTCATTCTCCGCATACTCCATCAAGGGCTCTACTTTCAAAAACTTTCCTGGCACCAATAGTCATTATTTGGCTAAAATAAACTCACCTACGCACTGTCCAACCCAAATGCAATGCTGGTCATACCGAGCGACACATGAGTTGCATGAATGGCAATGAAAGGATCTCAAAGGTTTTTTCACCTGGTGAAGAACAGAGGAGACAATAACTCATGGTTCACACAATATATTTACTCATGACATTTTAAACACCAGATTACTCCAGCAAAGGTATTACCTTATTGGCGCACTAACAAGGCACCAAACACCTCCAAAATAATCCCAAAATTGATTGGACACAATACAGCAACAAAACCCAGACACAATTCCATGTGTGAATAGAGGAGAGAAAGGCCACATGTACTGTTTGGAAGATCTCCAGCTGAGATTACACAAACCCCCTAAAGGTGTCAGATCCTATCTGATCTTGGAAGCTAAGCAGGGTTAATACTTGGATGGGGCACTACATATGAATACGAGGTGCTATAGGCTATCTTTCAGAATGAGAAACTGACAAAACAATCTCTTGAGTATTTCTTCTCTTTAAAAAAAAGCCCTATGAAATTCATGGGGGTCCGTAAGATGACAGGTGACTTAAAGGCACATATATACATACAAACAAAACTAAGACATATTATAATCCATGCATCCATATTTTTAAATTCATATTTTTAAAAATAAAACCTATTGGTAGTCCCAACTAAAGTAGATCTATTAAATCAACTGCCAAATGATGACTCAATGTTTATTTAAATCACAGTGATTCAATGAGCTTGCTCTACATGGGACTATCAGTAGAATTCAGGCCTTAAATGGTAATGTAGAAGTTGTTACACTGTAAAACCTACTTCATATTTCTCTAAAATTATTTAAAATTAAACAAAACATTTTATTTGTTATCGACAATAAAGGACTTTTCTTTATTGTGGATCCTAATATGCTTTATTTACCGGTATTTGTGATATTTACAAAATGCTTTCTAGAGATCAAAGTAGTACATAATAGGAAGCCAACACAACTCAGTTCTGCTAAATTGACTTTAGTGGCCAAAACATATGGATTTCTTATTCAAACCAAGTAAAGCTCAATCTATATAAGACTAAACCATTCTCTTTTTAAAAAAAAGATTAAATATATAAATAAACAAAGTACCGTAAATGCAGACCTGTGTCGGCAAGTAGGCACCAACAACTGCTCAGAAACTATTGCTGCTGAAGTCTTCATACTAAAATCTGAAACCATGAGCTATTATGTCAAAACAGTAGCTTCTAATATTGAGCTGCAGGAGCATTACCACTATATAAAAACTATTAATGAAGGCACAAAAACATGTTTCACAAACCTCTAAATAGGAGATTACCCAACTTAGACTCTATAAACTAGAACTTCTGGTCGATAATTGCTATTGCTTGTGAACTCTTCAGAGACATCTAACCAGTTGGCCACTGGAAGGAACAGCCTGGTGTGTAAGGAGAGCCTTTTGTGCAATTCAGCATCCCTCTTTTATTTCTTAAAGCGCCTACTGTGCAATCCCACATTTTCCTGTCATAGGAGGACTGTCGCCTTCAGATCTAGCTTTATGACCTCTACAAGATTAATTTTTAGCATCCTAGCATGCTGCTTCCCGGTTGGGCGACAGAGTTCAACGCTGCCCATCACATGACGTAGCCTCACTTCTGGCATCATGGTAGGGCGCTGCGCTGCCAACATGGGAGCCTCCATTTTCCATTTAGAACAGGGTTACTGCGGGGACAAGTCACATGGTGACACTTCTCCAAGTGTGATGGGGATTGCCTTGCTGCCCCGATTCACCATGGAGGCTAGCAAATTGGCACATGGCACCTCATCAATTTGATGAGGTTCCCAGCCAGAGCCAGGAAGCAATCATGCAAATGGGCTCTTAGCTTGCATCACCAACTGCACTTAGAACTTGTTAAGCCACATGATGAATGGGAGAGAAGCATGTGCTTTAGAGTATCTGTATTTTCCTGTATGAGCCTACTTGGCCTTTGGGTTTTTTTTATTCCCATAGGCTTTTTAGAAGTTTATGTTTTTAAAGAAAGGCCATCAAAGGTGCAGTAGCAGTGTCATAATTGTACTGTATTTAAAACTGCTTTCTATTACTTCTAATTATATCACTGAAACATAGAATTGGAAGGGGCCTCGTCGGCCAACAAGTACAACCCTTCTGCTGTGTGTAGGATCTCCAGCTCAACTATTCACAGCAGGTAACTGTGCAGCTTCTTTTTTAAGACATCCAGATAAGGAGACCCCACCACTTCTCTAGACAATTGATCTCACTCTTCCAGTAGTTCCAATGCTCTCCATCATCTTTCCTATTAAGAGTTTAACTCCATCTTAATGGTGAGACTTTGTATATTTTAACATTATTCTATTTTGAGTCCTAGTTTTGGAGAAAGGCTAGGTTCAAACAAATTTTAAAACAATAGCAATAATTGTAATAGAATAATTCTGTTTTCAGGCCTATATAAACATGTCAACATACGAAGATGCAAACAATCTCATGAAAGAGAATTCTCCATATGTGTACGTACACAATTCCAGTATATAGAAAACTGTGTAAGCAATTTCTTATAGACTTGGTCCTCCATACCTACGGATTCTGCATCCATTAATTTAGCCATGCATAGTTTGAAAATGTTCTAAACAAACTAATAATACAAAAGACAGCTTATATTGCCATTTTATGTAAGGGACTCCTTTTTACTGCATCCTGTATATAATGAGACTTTAGCATCCATGTATTTTGGTATCTGTGGGAGATCCTGGAACCAAATTGTTGTAGCTCCTTAAGAAATCCCTGTATATGAAATTGTAAAAACAACAACGGGAGACTTGACTTACAAGACAAGATGTGCAAAAGGTTCTGAAATCCAAGGAGCCATTTTCTGCAAGGTTAATGATATTCTGAAAGACAGATGAGGTTTGATAAGCATTTTTATTGTTAATGTCCTAAAGATATATAACTGTAAATTCTTTGCACTTTTACTGTCATTTTTTATTAATGACAGTAAGTCTTCAAAACCCATCTTCTCTCTTTCCATCCCATCCTGCATTTCCATCTTCTCCAGTTCAGTTTTCACTATGGTATTTAGTACATGTTCTATATCCTTCTTATACTTTTTAACATTATAGTTGTACAGACATAAGTGTTTGTTCCCTTTCAAAATATTTTATCTATTATACCCAGTACATGACTAGGAAACCCCCACCCCATCCTAACAGCAAAATAGTATGAGATATTAAATTCTAAGGCTATATAAATGGTTACTTAAGTTGAAAATCTAGTAGTCTAGAACACTAGTGCACTTATTGAATTGTGATGACAGGTGAGGTTTAAGGATATTCAAGAAGGAAAACGGTTATCTCATCCCTGCCTAATTCCATCTGGATTGATCTGGGAAGTACATTATTTAACTCTCCCTTCCAGGATACTTTAAGACTTTAAATGTGACTGTTTGGAAGGTTGATTAATTAGGCTCAAAGATTTTGAATTTCTTTTATTACTATATCCTGGGATTCCTTTAGGCTCAACATGCTTAACCCTCTGAAGGTTTACAGAACACAGAGCTTAATAGTTAGGGATTAGATTTGGGAGCTGTGTACTTCACAGTGTACATCCACCAATGCTAATCTTCTCCCCATTTTGTGACACAGTAATTCAGTTTTACTAGGAAATGGAAGTTAAGCCAGTGCCTTATAAAAGAAAAAGACATAAATTGTAATAACAAAATGTATGGAGACACACTATATCTCATGAAAGCCTTTCATTTATATTTTTAAATATATATCAATTGTTGCTTATTTCACTTAGACTCAGAGGTTTCTCATTACATTCACCACCTACACACTATAGTTGACACACTAATATGTCATGACACACAGTTTGGAAAGTTCTGCTTTAGACTATTTGGGAAGAATTATGAACTACTAGTGTTCAAGCCCTAAATAGAATTGGTATTCCACCACAATTTACCACACTGTACTATTTACTTTTGTATTGTGCCTTTTAAACTTGACTAAAGTGTGAACTGTTCGCTGCCTTAAGTCCCCATAGGGAGAAAGGCGGGGTATATATAAAGTTAATAATAATAATAATAATAATAATAATAATAATCCCTAGACACACCGAATAACTGGGATTCATGTAAGTGCCGAGTCGCCATTGAACAATCAATTCAATATATTTACTCTAGTTGGGTCTACCAATACAATTCAGGCAAGGAAATAATAGCAGACATTCTTTCTGAATCCAAATACCTTTTTAATCTCCTCTTCTGTAGATTTAATGTATCCAGGATCCATTCTGACAGTTTTGTAGAAATAATAAAAAAGACCCACTATACCAAAAAAGAAAGGAAGCTGAGAAACTGTGCTTGGAAAATGTAACCTCTAGTTAAGGAAAATGTTTTTCATCACTGCTATATTGTTGTAAAAGAACAATAAACAACACATAAATGCTTCTCATGCCATGCTTCAAAGTTAAATGCACGTACAGCCAATGTAAGGTCAAAAGCAAAGAATTGTGTGTAATACTTAGAAATGTCTATCAGATTTCACGTGATTGTTCCGTAAGATTATAACTGGGAATTCAAATTTGAAATATCACATCAACATCAATCAATCACAGGCACCAAAACTTTCTTTCTATCAAAATATGAAACTGTATAAATTATACAATACTAGACAAAAGCAAAGATATATAGGTTGGATGAGAATTCCAACATCTGCCTGGAAAAAACATTTACTGTTCATCAAAATCAACTAAAAGACATTTTAAAATCTTCATGCAAATATATTGTGTTCTTCATCTTATTTAGTACAAGATATTTTAGTTATTAAGATATCTGAAAGAAATATATTGATGAACTGACTGTGGTATAGCTAAGAAACTGACAGTTTAATGGGAGCATAGTACGAGCTAGCAAATGCTAACCTTATGCATAATCATGTCATCTTTATGTATGTTGAGATTCTTTGCACCAGACATTAGTTAATGGTTCATGGGATTCTAATAGACCAAATTTACCAAAGAAAAAGGATATGAGGCAGGAAATAGATGAAACAAGTCCATGATACCCAGAAGAGAGAACCAAGCATAAATGCTACTGGAAAATATTTTAGTTTGTTATATCCTATGAATAACCTGAAAATAAAATTTCAAAAATATTTCAAAGTAGTATCTCACATGCAAATATTTAAAATAATATTTCAAATTGTTTAGTACAGTAGATTGATTTCTTATATTAATTTTTAATGAAAATATATTTCTGATAGTTGAGGTACCGGGTAATATGATGACACTCAAAAGAGAACCCACAGTTTTACTATTTGGAAAATTTCATACTCCTTTGGGATTATATATAAAACAAAATGGTGGTTTCTTCTAAAAGGAAAACATACTTCATTATCTTCCTAAATATGGGGTCAAGAATTTTGTAGGCATCTTTAGGCTTAATCATATCATAAAAGGAAACCCTCAGCTTCCTGTTATAGCTCAAATGGGATTTACCGCGTCTCACAAAAACCTCTAAGACTGAAAGTGCACAAGCAAAGGCCATCACAAATTTCAATAATGTTTAAATTATTTGACATTGTATCATTTTCCTATATGAAAAGGCTTTCCAAAATGTATGTAATGCAATGTAACCTTTAAAACTTTTAAAAACCATGTTTTTCCATACAATTTATCAAAAGAAAATCTAGAAAGTCACAGAGAATGGCCCCTTATCATTGGAAGTACACACAGAAGGATATGAGGGTGTGATTCTCACATATGATGTGGGTGTTTAATAATAGTCTAATATAGACACAGTTTCTATGAAGTTAAAACATAATATTTGAAGCAAATAATTTTCTCTATACTCTTCTCAGTGTGATTAGACTCAGTGTGATCATGACTCAAGCATCAAAAACAGATAAAGAGACCTGAATCTTGCAAATGAAAATAGCTGCAGTTCATCAATGACTGCTTAAATCAAGTGGATCAACTTCAAAAACCCCAGGAGAAAGTCTTAAACATTAAAACAAGAGGAGTCTGCTCCAGGTCCACTTTTGAATTGGTTGGGGAACTTCAGGCCCTCGTAGTCTTCTCAACACAAAATATCTGTTTGTGAGTGAAACTATTCATTTTAGGGAATTAGATTTGCAGGCTGCAAAACAGCTTGGGGGGGGGGGGGAGCAGCATATGTCCATCAGCTACTTTATAACTAAACAAGAGCTCTGTATTTTGTTTTGAGTATTTGTGCTTAGAACCTATAGAGTTCATCTTGTGGAGTTTCCAGGAATACATACTCTCCAACAAAATATATTGGGGGTTTTGTAACTGAGAAATAAAACCAAAGCACTAGATATACCTACCTTGCAAAGACAGACAAAATAAGGGATAGGAAGAGTAGCAAGCTTCCTTTCAATAGCCAAGAATCTGAATTCAAATCCACTACAAAGCCTATGGTCCATATCAACACCAATGACGAGACAATCAGCAACAAGGACTACAACAAAATAAGATAAAACATCATTTATTACAACATACAATGGTGTGTGAGAGAGAAACAAAAAAATCTTAAACAAGCAAAAAAGTAACAGTTTTGAAAAGGACCGAAGGTTCAGATTTCACATAATTGTCAATGCATCAGTTTCTGAACAAACCCTGATTATTAACCTGAAAACAGAGTTTGGAGACTCATTTCAGTGACACCATCATAATTTTCTCCTCTTGTCCCCAAAATTGGGACTTAGTGGCTTACAATAAAAAAACCAGTAGAATTAAAAGCATACAAAATGTTCTTTGACTTTGGATTTGTCTATTTCTATTTCTTTGGGAGAAATTTCCAGCAACTCCTATCACACTATTTCCAATATGACATGACAGATAATTTCATTTTTACAAATATATGCAGAATATACAGTTCTAATGAATTCAACCACCCAAGAGATGCAGGTCTTTATTAACAAGTAAATAAATAAATAAATAAATAAATAAATAAATAAAGTTGGCTGACTTGTTCAAGTAGCTTTGTGAAAGTCTGCCATCCTCCTCAGTTGTTGCTTTGAGCTTCTAAACTTTGCAGAATTGCAAAGACATTGTCCAGAACTCTGAGTCAGAATGGTACTTTTTTGATGGCCAGTTGAAAAGGAAAGAGCCTCAAGGAGCTGGTCTTTCAGCAGAACAGTTCTTCTCTACATCTGACACCACTGCAATTGGGATGGTTCTTGTCAAGTGCTGCTACAATGCAAAAAGGCTACCTGAATAAATTCTGGATTCTATGAAAGCTAATAGAACCTTTCCAGGTTTGCTCCTGGTACATTTTTCCTGTTGGATCTGGTGACTGTGCTTCTAATAACACATAAATGCTACACAGGATTTCTATTCCACTTGCATGCTTTTCTTACTTTTCTCAGCTCCGTGCTTCTTACTATCCATTGCAGTGCTAAATTTGCCAATAAATCCTTTAAGATCTAGTTCTGTTTCACAGACAATTACAGTCCAAGTAATCTGGGTGAATGTCATCCTTCAATCAAATACATTTTTAAAAGTGCACTCCTACATGCCAAGAATTGGGCCAGTGCAAGATACCTCATATTTTTCCAGAACTCTCAGAAACCTCGATGTTCTTCTGGCTCTCGTTTTTTCTTCTTCCGAAAGCAAGTGAATTATTAAGCGATTTTTAGTTTGATGTGCAAGATCAAGTGGACTGTGTCCCTGTAAAATGCATATTTAATAAAAATGTGGAAAAGATCAAAAACGGTTATGTCGTTATTTCTTTTTAACGTCCAACTAACTTGTTGCTCCTAAGACTTGCACTAAAGATGGAATTATTATAATGATATTTCACAAATATATGGTGTTCTTTTTAAGCTGATAAGCCTATAAAATGCTTTAAACTTGAGGGCATTACAAAGATGAACAGATATTTTATTTTTATGCAGACAAATCCAATTATAACGAACTGGTGGACCATTATTGTATCAGCACTAATTATAAATTGTTGTTATAACTATTTTGCCTAAGTGCCACATAATCATATCTCCAACTGAAATTTAAATTATGTCGTAGTCCCAAGGGATGAATTGGAAGCTTAAAATGGGAAAATATTTTAAGTATTCTGAAATATAAAACAAGAGCATTAAAATACAGACTTAATGCTTGTTCATAGGTCCTTTAAGTACGCATTTCAATACAAGCTGTTAAGACATTATCCCTTGATAAATTATTAACATCAAAGTCCTAGATATATTAAACCGCCTCCAATTAAATTGCAAACCGAAGTATTCATATGAGGTGACCATAAAAGGGACACTTTTGCAAAGACAAAGTGTCTCATTTGTTTCAATATGGGCTTTCTTTGCCAACTACATAAGATCACTATCCCTTTCAGAAACTCTTCCTCTTACTGACTTTCCCTCAAGTACTGGTATGTCTTCATCTCATTTTTTTTTCAAACAGAGAAAGCCACCAGATGAATAAAGTTTGTTTGTTTATTTATTTATTTATTTATTTATTTATACTATTTCTAACATGCCTTTCTCCACCCCAGAGGGGACTCAAGGCGGCTTTACAACATAGGCTGCTATTTGATGCCATTTAAACAATGTAAAATTACAATAAACATTTAAAATAGGATTAGAAAATACATCAGAACATTTAAAACATTAACTAATGTCATCACTGTTAAATCACGTTATTGATAAGCATAAGTATGCTACTTTTCCCAAAACAATAACAACACTAATCATCATCCAATGGTTTGACCATGCTCATCATAATTATTGACTTCTTCCATTCAAAGAGCATGTCACAACTTCTAAAACAAAAGCAGTTTAACTTACAGTATAGTGTATGCTATACTTTTGTTAATTTTATATTTTGAACACTAATTTTGAGAGCCCTATAAGGTAGAGTTTTTATTATTCCCATAAAGGACACTGAGATGAAAATAGGCTACCTGAAGCCATTTTGTGAGAATTCCTGTTTCAAGCTCCTCACAACACACGTTAATACTCAAATAATTCGAATGTCTGGTTTCTCTTTATAAGATTGGAATATTTATATAGGTAAGCAATCTGGGTATACATACATTCAACTTCTAAGCACTGCACAAAGAGCAAAATTATCTATTATTGAAGAAATAAAAAAAATGGCAATGTTATTTTGTAACTGAAATAAAAATGCTTTCACTACAGCAGGAAAAACAATATTGCCCTATTCTAATAACAATCTGGTAATATTAGTAGTCAAGGAAAATCTTAAGTGACAAAACCAAACTATACCTTGCCATTTTTGATGTCTAGATTGGACCCAGCTTCTAATAATACATCTATAGCGTTAACATTTTCTGCTGTAATTGCCCAGTGCAATGCAGTGTTCTTTTCTATGTCGTCTACAGCTTTGATAGAAGGATGAAACTTTAACAGAAATTGAGTAGGTTCCAGCCTTCATGGAAATAAAGGTATACAACATGTTAATCAAGAAAAGAAACACAAACGGCAACAAAATAACAGTAAATAAATTATTGTATTAACTGGCATGCCCTGAAAAACTCCTGAAGAAGTAACCATTTTATGCAGTTAAAAGAGAAAACACTAGTACCATATAAAGTTGAATATAAGCCGACCCAAATATAAGCCGAGACACCTACTCTTACCACAAAAAAAACCTGGGAAAATGTATTGACTCGAACATAAGCCGAGCATGGGAAATGCAGCAGCTACCGGTAAATTTCAAAATAAAAATAGATACCAATAAAATTACATTAATTGAGGCATCAATAGATTAAATGTTTTTGAATATTTACATAAAACTGCAATTTAAGGTAACACAAAACTCTTGACTAAATCATTATTCTAACCTTCTTCAATGTAAATGTGCTTATGTATTCTTCCAATAATAATAAAGAGAGTAAAATAATAAGGATAATAATAATAACAATAATAATAAAGTAATAAATGTAATAATAACAATAATAAATAAAGTAAAATAAAATAATAAATGTAATAATGATCAACATCATTAAAAAGCCAGCTAGCAATCCTGTTTGCTGTGTACTAATCTTATTTATCAAATAATAATAATAAATAGAATTAAAATAATGTAATAATAAAAATAGAGTAAAATAATACATATAATAATAATTATCGAGTAAAATAATGTAAATGTAAAAACAATAATAAATAGAGTAAACTAATAAATGTATTAATAATAATAATGTAAAATAATGTAAATGTAATAATAACAATCAGAGCAAAATAATAAATGTAATAAAAGTAATAATAATAACAGAGTAAAATAATACTCGATTATATCTGGTAAGCGCCTTGGTATCTTTAAAATTAAAAGGTTAATATTATTGTTCTTTAAAACACCATGGTACTCTTTTTCTGCATCATCTCAGAACCCAGAAATAAAAAAAACAAGCAGTAAAATTTTTGAGCATAAAAAAAAAAGAACATGAGAAATTCATGATTTCATCTGCCAAAATTTCTAATATTAGTTAAATAGTACTACTCTGGGATGAGGAGCTTATTTATGTAGAAGCCTTAAAAACTACAAGGACAGTTCTTTCATGTTTCTACTTGCATGTATTTAAAGAATTTAGGAATAGCTTGGTTAACAACAGATTGCTGGCTCATGCAACCGATTATTGTCCATTCTGAATAGCAGCTGCTTGTTTTTACACAAGTATAGAATCATAGAATCAAAGAGTTGGAAGAGACCTCATGGGCCATCCAGTCCAACCCCCTGCCAAGAAGCAGGAATATTGCATTCAAATCACCCCTGACAGATGGCCATCCAGCCTCTGCTTAAAAGCTTCCAAAGAAGGAGCCTCCACCACACTCCGGGGCAGAGAGTTCCACTGCTGAACGGCTCTCACAGTCAGGAAGTTCTTCCTAATGTTCAGATGGAATCTCCTCTCTTGTAGTTTGAAGCCATTGTTCCGCGTCCTAGTCTCCAAGGAAGCAGAAAACAAGCTTGCTCCCTCCAAAAGTACCTGACTACTTTTGACTAGAAGGGACTGAAGCAGAATTTATATGCTTTAAGATAAGAATTTTATCATATATTCAACATTCAGAATTGAATAGGGTGTGAGATAATGACTTCTTCCACTTCTAATGTTCAATTTTTCTACTTTTTTATTCAACAAAAATTCTTACAGGAAGAAAAGACAGATTAACTGCACTGTGTTATTTGATTGCTATAATTAGAATCTCTCTATCTCGTCTAATTTTAAAGTGGCTTTTTAATCAAAAACTTCTTTTCTAGAAAAGCAAGACTGGAACCTTCTATGGACTATGTGGTTGTTTTAATTGCTGTTTTAAATCCTGTTTTGTTGTGTTTATGTTAAATGTGGCATCAAATTGTGCCAAGATGTAAACCTCTCTGAGTCCCCCCCCCCCCCCCGGCCTTTGAGGTGAGATAGGGCGGGATAGAATTAATTTAATAAATTAAAAAATGCCATACCCAAAGAAAGACAGCTTAAATCCAAATTAAACATTTTCTTCTGTTTAAATATCTTCACATAGTGGAAAAAATAATACAACTCGTGCAGAAAATAAAATTATGGAAAGAAAACAACTCAGAAGTAATTTCCATTATATTAAGATCTCATTTGTACTGTAAACAAATACGGTAAGTGTTGGACATAGCTATTTTGATTTAGCAGTACTCATATTTTTCCAAATTTATCATATTGCCATCGAACAGTTAACAATAATCTGTGAACAACTGCTTCAGTAACCAATATGTCACTTATAATTTCAGCCTGAAAGATTTATTCAACAACTTAAAAACTACAGAATTAAGGGTAGAGTTTTATACGGACTTATTATGGTGCAAGTGTCAATGAAATCAGTAGCTTTACTTCCAGGTGAATATTACAGGACAGCATGTGAATTATAAACATTACTCACCCAATTACTTTGTAAGATGATAGCATAAGAGGAGTTTGCCCATTGCGATCAGTTGTGTCAACACTCTAAAACATAAAAATATATTAGGAAATGAAGACTGTGTATTTCAAGTTAATTTACAGTTTAATTACATTACATAGTCACAGCTTAACAATCTATTTATTCTGTGTGGTCCTTGCTTTGATTACTCTGTATAGATGCTATGCATCAATCGTTCTCAACCAACTGGGAGTACTAGAGCTGCTCAATACAGTCTGATGATATTATTATCAAGGACTTCACCCTCAAAACAGACATATCTGTATGTATGGATAGCTTTCATTTTTGTACTGTTTTAAGTGTTACAATATTATGTCAGACACATTAGTTGTGCCAAAGTTGTGCTGTGACAGCTAATAAATTGTTTACAACAAGAGACAGTGATTGTCTGTACCAGTGAAATTATGAAATAAGGTGTGCACAACAGCAAAGTAGGAGGAAACAGGATACAATGAATCATAATGTAATTTACAAGCATCCACACTAAGCAAGTTATGACTATAAGATTGAATTTACTGTGCGAAAAAACATACCTGACCCTTTGCTATGAGGTAGGCTATGATGGGCATGTGTTGAAAAAGCACTGCTAAGTGCAGACCACTATATCCTTCACCATCAATAAGAGTAGGGTCTGCTCCAAGTTTTAACAGAAGTATGACCATAGACAAATGTCCTTGTCTGAAAAGAGACAGAGTATATTATTTGCAGACCACTAGATATGTAGAAAAGATTTAAAAAATAATAAAAGGAGAAAATGACGTTGATATCATTTAACTGTCTGGGCTGAGGTGGAGAGCTGTGGGAGGATAGGAGATTGCATTAGCTTCCCAAGAGACCTTGATGAACTCTTGAGGACACCAGGCAGCCTCCAAATGTGGTGTAAATGCCCTCCATTTGTGGGCATTCTGGAGCAATTTTTCAAAATGTTTTGGAGTGTTTTGGGGTTTTGGAAGCTAAAAAAATAGGCACAGGGTCACACATTGCACACCTTTGCTCCAGACCTTTAAAACTGATTAGGGAAAACAAAGTTGCTTTTATTTTCAAATGGTGACTGAACCCATATGGAAAACTATTTCATTGAAGTGCCTCTGTAACTCCGTCACAAACATCCTCCAGTCAAAGAGAAAGTTATTGTAATTGGACAGTGTTTTCCGGACTGGTTGCACCATTGTCTCTTTAAAGATAGCTGGAGCAACTACACATCCAATATTTGTTGAGGTAGATATTTATTTCATCACTCAGAGACAATTATAGAGGTACTCAGGTTTCAAAGTTCCGCAGACAGCGCTCACGAGTGGTAACATTGATGGGCCAACCCATCTTTACTGTATAAAATAAGGATGTCAAGAGCATCAGCTGCAGCCACTTGCAACCTGTCTCGAACAGTCAGGAATCCCTTGGTCTTTGCCCCCCACCCCAACCACAAGTGGTTGCTGAGTGTGGAACTGGGATTCTTAAGGTTAAGTAAATAAGACACATTATAGTAAAGATAAAAGCTTCCCCTGACATTAAGAGCCGGCGTTGTCCATAGACACCTCCAAGGTCATGTTACCAGCATGACTGAATAGAGCGCTATTACCTTCCCGCAGAAGCAGTACCTATTGATCTACTAACACTTGCATGTTTTCGAACTACTAGGTTGGCAGAAGCTGGGGCTAACACTGGGAGCTCACCCTGCTCCCCAGATTCAGACCACCAACCTTTCAGTCAGCAAGTTCAGCAGTTTAACCCACTGCGCCACCAGGGCCCACTAAGACACATTAAATTGAAAATGTAAGTGGAATTCCATTATTGAGGTTTGTATTACTCTACAATTACAATTTAAAAAAAACAACCCCCCCCCCCCCCAAAATAAAATAATAAGGAATCCTTTGGTCTGTGTGTGCAGGCCATTGTAATAGGTCTAAACCCCATGCAGAGGGGAACCACTTCCATGAGAGCAAATTTCAGCACGAAATTATCTGATCACGACAATAGAGCTATTTTAATCACTCATGTCCAGACCAACAAGAAACCAGATTAAAGGTTCCTGTTAAATCAGCTGAATGTGGAGACAGTCCCATATCATCATCCACAACACTGTGAAGTCTTGAATTGGACCACTCAAGGCAGGCTTAACAATGATTTTGAGATCTTCAGCACAATTATCCATGGGGTTTCCAATAGCAAACCATTTCAATCAGTTTGCATACGATCTTTTGGGTATCGTCATGCTTGACAAAATCCTTGATGAGCTAAATCTTATTATGGAAGCAACATGGCATTAAAGAGCAACAGCACGAGACTAGAGGGGGCATATTTCAGTATCTGCATAACAAAAACTCTAGCTGGTTTTTGGAGGTAGATTCAGCAAGAGGAACTTCCTGCAAATATCTGCACCTCCTTCTTTTCTATTCAGTTCTGCATAGCAAATTTCTCAATAATGATAACCTTATTATGTGTTATGCCCAAACACATCCTGACACAACTGTGAATTCAGTACCAACTCAGTAACAACGATGAATTTTGTGAAAAGCTTTGCCATCCACAGAGAATCCCTTAGTGAGTGTGAGCACAAATTATATACTTGTTCTTTCATGTTGGTAATTTGAATATATAACAAACCTATTAAGTAATTTAGGAATTTTTTAAAAAAACTTCTGAAAATCTATTAATGTATTTTATTGTTAGAATTAGCTTAAAATGATTGCTAACTCTGTACTGCTATATATCTATAATGTTGTATTAACAGAATAGATGTCCCAATCCAATAATACTTCAAAACTGAAAATGGGTTTAGGATGTAGAGCTGCTATTGCAGTGCTGGAACAGATAATGAAAAGCCCTTATTCAGTAATTGACATGAACAAAAGCACCGAATTAAACCAAAGGAGTACTACTACTGGGCAACCTATATGTCCAACTGTTGAAGTCAGGATTTTATTTTCACTACAGAGAGTTCTCAGTAGGTAGCAATTTATAGTGGAGAAGCAGCAAGAAAACAAAAAGGGTATTTAACCCTACGCCTGAAACACATTTTCCCACAATTTTTCCCTGTTCTCTTCAGCCGTGGCCCAAGAGACACAGTTGCACTGCAAGGTGGCAAGACAGAAATGGAGGGGAAAAGCTGACTTGGAAATTAATTCTAAGTGCTAAGAAGTGTCTTACAGTGTCTTTGAATCCTGTGAGCAAATGTCAGCTTTGCTCTTCTACATCTGACAGCTAAAAATTTCCTTTTTTCCCCCCTCCAGTCCCACATGATGTGTGAAAATACAAGTATGTCATGAAGTTCTCTCATTTATGGCCACAGATCTCTTGATTTGTTCTGAACTCTCATTGTATTAGATTTCCAATAAACATCTAACTTACTGGTATATGAAATTCACATATTTTCGCAAAATCACAATAAACCTCCATACCTAATAGCCCAATGAAGTGGAGTCGAATTTAAATCCCCTCCTAGTTGATCCACCACTGCACCTTTGGAAATAAAGAATCTGCAAGACAATAAAACAAGTTATTTTATAAATAAATGATGAGAGAACACTATGCAAAAAACTCACTAATCCAATACCTGACCAAAGCACTTGTCCCAAAAGTGGTTTTTCCAGCAGACCTTGATCCACTGTAACATTTTTTAAGAAATGAAATTATTCAGAATTAACAATTCACTCATATGGAAAATATGCAACCAACCCCAGCTAATGAGACTCATATATTATTAAAATTGTAGTCCAAAACATTTGGAGTGCACCAAGCTTGGGAAGCAGCTCTCGCATGTCAATTCTCATCCTCAAGAGGTTTGGGAAGTGAAAAAGATTTTTTTTTGTTTTGGTTCATTCTTATGCCATGTACTTCCACAAACTCAGACACAGCCCTTTTATGAGTTGAAAAAAATGCTTCACTCTTCTCTAGTAGAAATGCACTTCTGGATCCAAGGCATGAGCTATAAGAGAAATAGGTCTCCTTGTTTACTTCTCCTAGCAAAACAAGGAGAGAAATAAGGACTATCATCAGTCTCTAGAAGAGCATGGCCTATCATTACCAAAACTTTATCATTACCAAACTTTAGTTTGTATCAGGCCTTATCTTTCACATCTTTTTGCTGTGCCAGGAAAGAAATTAAGGCATATGAAGTAATGACAGAGAATGCTGTTCTAAACAGAATAGATTTTCTTCATTAGTAATTTCCACAGACAGACAGACTTGGTTTCTCATTTTAGTATTTATTATATTGCCTTCTTCTCCACTTTAGGCAAGAAGGCCAGCAGTACATGGCTGCTCAAAGTAATCAGATTTTATCATCAGTACCTACCTTTATACATATGGCTGGAAATGGACATGATTTTCATACAAAGAAGTATTTACATATTCCCCTGAACCAAGGGTAAAGAAACTCATTCAGGCTTAGGTACAGTTTGAATTTAATATACATTTGAGAGGGCCTGTCCTCCAGGGTTTGACAATGATAAAAACAAATTGCTTCAACCAAAAATATCTGCACATTTGTAAGTTCCCACTGTCTGCAATTAAATCTTAGAACAGGTATTTCAATTTTTAGAGTGGACAACAAACCCCATATAAAACTGGGGAAACACCCAATGACAACAACCCTGGATGGGAGAGCCAGAATGTCAGGATTCTATCTCACAGCCAAAGATTCCTATGTGTCAACAGCTGCATAAACCTTGGATATTACTTCTGTTACTTCTACCCACCTCTTTAGGTGAACTTAGAATTGGCATTAAAAGTGAATATTGAAAATAAAAGAAATATACCTATGAGATATAAAACTAATTTGCCCTGCCTCCATGAAAAAAAATCTATTTCTCTGTGCTTCATTCAATCATGAAGATCTCTGAATTCTGCCTACAGTAAAATAATTTCCAGAACAGGTGTATCCTATCACTGAAAATTCACATTTTCTATACTATTCGCAAAACCTACATATGATCTTAATTTTTTGAAAAAAATCACAGTAACAAATTTGAATAGCAATAGAATGAAGTTTCAATGTCAGAAAATATGCAAGAGCAGGTTAGGAATCTTGTGGCTCTCAAAATGTTGCTACATTGAAGGTTTCAGCAGTCCTCACTATACTGGTTACAGCTGCTGGGACTTACAATCCACCAACATATTTTGGCCTCTTAATTTCCTCCCCCTATTAGATTCTTCACATTGACAAAATCCATTAACATGAAATGGCAAATAATATACATCATTTTGTTACATGCAGAAGTTATGAGAAATACACATACTATCAAGTGCTTACTTTACAAGATCCAGCCGATTATTGATTGCTGCCCAATGAAGTAGAGTTACACTTTCTTTGTCTGGCTGTCTTACATCATATCCTGCTTCTACCAACTCCTGACATCGTTCCAAAAGACCATATCTGAAATTGAAAAATTCAAAAATCTGAACAGCAAGGAAACAAACCTAGAAGATGGTATTGATTTCTTCTAAATTATGTTTAAGTCTATATCTGACAATGAAAACTACTTCCAACTTCTCAAGAGCTCATTATAAAAAAAATGCCTAAGAATACTAAGAGAGAACTGCAAATTGATGACAACTGGACAGTTAAGTATTTTAGTACTGTGGAATCACCACTTTGCAGAAAAAAATAATCAGCATGCAGAATTAAAGAAAACAAGGAAAGCATGGAATAACATGTTTTGTTACATACCAAAAATTGTAACTGAAATCCCTTTTTGTGTCAGCATTATTAGACATCTCAATGTTTGCTCTCTATCCTATTTATTTAATGGAAGCTATTTTTCTGTATATTTAAACACAATTCCATCTCATTCTGATCTGACCCCACCTACATACATTTATAGACAGGAACAAATTCTTGATTAAGTACTTATGTAAATTTATACAGAACCTTTAATTAGATGGGCTTTTTTTCATCAACTGCATGTCGCAGTCATATCCAGTGCCCATTTTATTTACTGTCTTGTCCTACCTTCAGTAACTCTTCATAGCCTCCAAATTTTTGACAGATGCAATATTTGTGGCTATACTATGGAACTGTAAGTTTTGTATATTTTTTTAAAACATAAAGCAGCTTTTAAAGAAGTATATATAGCAAGTTACAAAAGATTCTTGATTAAGTACTAGTATTAGTATAGGTACAGGTCTCACTTTCAGAGTATAAAGACTTTTCAAATGTGAAATGTTTGTGAAATTGTTTTGTGTACCTCTAAAATGTGTAGGATGTGAGTCCCTCAATGATGTTGAGATGTTTCTATATTTGTTAAATTGTATGTGTGGTTATCAAGTTTTACTGTATATATCTTACTTCTTTGGAAAATGTTTTGCTGATTCAACTCCACAGTAAATGTTATTATCCATACACAGAGATTCTGAGTGGGATCTATTGATGTTATCCAGTTAGTAGAACTGCTTGAAAAACTGGGAAGAGGAAAAATTTTCATCTTCCTTGCAGCCTTTGCACGTGAATACACAAAACCTACTCTGGGGAGCTGGGAGATGCTCCAGAGCATGTTTTCAGGTGGCAAGGAGAACAAACAGAAAAAAAACTCCAATCAAGTTGGCACTGATTGCAAACACCACAGAATTCCTTCCCTCAGTGCAGCTTTAAGATGGGTTTCAAGCATCAAAACAGATATTAGATATCAAAATATGGTTGTGTGTTTGATGCAGGATCTTGGCCCTACATATTTAAATGCATGACTAAACAGTAGTAATAGGACTCAATTGCTATACAGAAGTGATGTCTATATTACTGTATAAAATGCTTCACATGAAATTGAGTATTCAGTACTTAATTACTACCTTACAGCAAAGAACTACATTATTCAAGAGACTTACTGGGTTGCTTTGACAATATCAAAAGTACTGTAGTCCTCCACCAAAGGAACCACATCTTGCTCTTTGAGTAGATCTTTGCCTTCATACATATCAGGCCAGCTGTGCCCGTGGTGGCGAAGGGGACCATGGCTATGATTTTTACACTGCTAATGAACAGTTAATGTGTGTTAGAATGAACATTATATCCGGAAATACTACACATTTACCAGCAGAATTTGCAATTTGCAAGATTTATATTCATATCAAAACATAAACAATTCAAAACTTCAGCAAAACAATACATACAACAAAAATAGAGCATGCAATAATGTCCTTCCTTTGTTCTCAAATCCTACTGAATGGCATCAATTCTACAGCCCAAATTTGCTCTTTTTATAAAATGCAAAAAAAAAAAAAAAATCAGCAGTGCATGGAGCCAATAGTTAGTGGATGTTGAAGGGAAATGTAACCTGTTCTCCTTGTTGTGGCCTGAGAAAAATCTCTCTTTCAAAGTCAGTATTTGCTTTGGGCGGCAATCTCAAAATGACATTTGCAAGATTACCCTGAGTATTGGGAATAAAGGAAGGACATTCAGTTTATCAGATATTGCTAGAGCAGCAACAATTCATCATGTACAAACGGATCCTACAATACTCAGCTAAACAATAAAGCCAGTATGATGTAGTAATTTGAGTATTAGACTATGACTCTGGACACCAGGATCTGAATACATGCTAGGCCATGAAACACACTGGTTGGCCTTGGAAAAGTCACACACTCTCAGCCTCAGAGAAAAACAATGGCAAACCGCTCCTGAACAAATCTTGTCAAGAAAATCCATGGATAGTGTTACCTTGGGTTCACCATAGGTCGGAAATGACTTGAAGGCACATTACAATAACATCAAATGTGAATAAGTTTTCAGCATGTACAAACAGGATTTAAAACTGTAATCCTGTACCTACCTGACAGGAAGTAAACCTCAATGAATTCAAGGTGACTTACTTAGGAGATGATAGATTTAGAATGCTGCTATAGAAATGACTAATTAGGCAAAAGAGATGAGCCATAAACAAGAAGTATCGAATGGGTGGTGGCCTGATGCTGAATTAGATACATATTCTCCAAAAGTATTCAAATAATAACACATTCATTTGACCTACAGAAAGACTGACATTACATAGTTCTCCAAATCAGTTGAACTGCAACTGCTAGCAGCCCCTAAACAGCATAGGTAACTGTGAAGAAAGCTGTGATTTTCAGACAAATAACACATGGAGAGTGACATAATTCCTACTCTAGTGAACTCCTTATCAAAGAGCACATACTGACTCCTAGTACCAATCAAAAGGTATTGTGAACTTTTCATCCTTAACAGTTTTGAGAAGTTAGGTGAGGAGAGACACAGTAACAGCAATAGACCAATATAGGAGGTTCACAAGTAAATGAAATTATTATCTGAAGTCTGGACTGCAATCCATCTCCTGGTAAGATTTCACAAAGAAGTAGTCATTGCAAAACTAAAGCCTCACCTGGAAACACCATTGGTCAATTATTGTACTATTAATTGATCGCATGAGCGCTACAACTGAGAACTCCTCTACCTATCTTTATTTTTATATGACCCAAAAAGCTCATGAATCATATTATTTGCAAAGGCAAGAAGAACCAATATTATTTGCAAAGGTTGAAGAACCAATGTAATATACAAAATGATTACTTAGAATAACTATATATATTACCAGCCATAGGGGTTTCCAGACTACAGATTCCCAGGTTGTTTGGGTCTGCAAGTTCCCAAATCCTTTATAACTGGCCATGCAGGCTGGAGTTTCTGAGGCTAAAGGGCCAACTGATATCTGGGGATCCAACTTAGGAAACTGCTCCTATGGGGAACTGAACACAGAATTTAATTTTTTGCTACTGCTTTTTGTCTTGTATCCAAGAAGACTCACACTGTAATTTACCCCTCTCTGGTTGCCCTTCTGAGGAAATGTAAGCTTACAAATGAATTTCTTGTTGCACATGCCAGCAGACACTCTCAATGAAAGAGCTTCTCATTGAGATTTTCCCCTTGGAAACATCAGATATCCATTTAATGTTTAAAGAAAGCTTTCCCCTTAGGAAGAAAGTTCATCTTTGATGTTTTTGGGAATATTCCTGAGGATGGCAAGAAATACAAAAATGCTGTTGTTTGTGGTTTGAAATGACAAGAATCATAGTGTAAAACAAGCAGAGACTCTATGACCCTCTACACACTACAGCTTATTGCAATCAGCTTCCTCCATCCATGAGCTGCCCCCTCCTCTCCCTTTCATGCTGAAACACAGGTAATCTTGTTGAAAACTGAACAATTTCCAAGATAAAATTTCTCGCAATCTACTACATCATAACGTTATGTCAAGAGCCACTGACAGGCTTACCATCCACATACACACCTAACCTAATACCAATTTAATTATTTAGGTAACTCTGTATTCCATTACTTGGAAAAAGCTAAAAGTCTCTCTTGTCTCCTCCTGCTGTAGAATTCCTAATATTTTAAATTCAATCAATTCCCACTCAGTAATTTTCTCATCTCAATATTTCATGTTTTCCTGTTACAAACAGTTGTTAAAAACTCTGAGGCTTTTTCATAAAAACCGACAAGTTTTTCTTTATGAGATTTGATAGGGACAATATAATGAAGGCAGAAAATAAAACATTACCAAAATATATAAAAAACTGTTAGAATTTACAAGAGAAAAAGAACAGATAAAAGAATGCATGGTTAAATGGCCTCAAAATATTGGTCATCAAATAGAGTTAAAACAATAGGAAAAAATTTGGAACCAAAGACTTAAATATACATATTCCTATGATCTGAAAGAAAATTGGCTTGAAATTATATATAGATGGTATATTACACCATATAAAATTTCCAAATGTTAGAAGAATGCATCCAACAAATGTTGGAAATGTGAACAACAAACTGGAACATCTTCCATACCTGGTGAACCTGTTCAAAAGCAGAAAAGTTTTGGAAGGATATAAATGAAGCCATACAAAAGATTTAAAAAAATAAAAATCCAAAGAGAGCCTGAATACTTTTTATTAGGAATCTTAAATATAGAGGAAGACAAAAATAAAGGGATGTTGTTTAATTTTTTGATAACTGCAGCCAGAATAGAATATGCTAAGAATTGGAGATTAAAAGAGATACCAAAAAGAGAAGAATGGCTGGATAAAGTACTAGATATCATGAATATGGACAAACTTACCTATTGGCTATCATTCAACCAAGGCCTACCAAAGAAAGAAACTAACTGGGACCTAGTAAAGTACTATTTTAAACAACTGAAAATAGATGTAATTTGCTGAAAAGAATCAATCATATGGAAGGAGAAGACAGAGGAGAAGCAGATAAACTATTTTACATCATCACGTTAAAATAAACTAAATGACTATCAAAAGCAAGAAGGAAGTAAACAAACACTTGTTTTATTTCTTCTTCCTTTCCTCTCCCCTTTCCTACTTTCTATACATGGAAATGTTCTCCCACTTTCAATGTAAAATAAATTATCTTCTCAAATCTTATATTCTTTCAATAAAATATATTCAAAAGAGTAAAAGAAAAAAGATTTGATTGAGCATCAGAGTATATGTGGCTTTTTTAAGCATCAGAGTCCAAAATTTCCAGTTCTTTGTTTTCTAACAATACACTGAATTCTGCACAATTTTTGACCTGTTACATAAAACCTTTAATTCACTATATCCACCAAGGCATAATCCTATATGCACTTAATCCAGGAATAAGCCTTGTTGCATGTTATGTGGTTTAATTCTGAGCACACATGCTTTAGAGTGGTAGCAGTAGATGAAGGAAGTAAGACAAAAGTATTGCGAAAATACCTAGGGGCATTTTTTTCTGTCACATATTCCTACGAATATGCTATTCTCTTCTTCTTCTTTTTTTTAACGGGAAGGGGGTTATAAAGTTTCAGGGCAGGGCTGAGATCTAATTAACCAAAAACATTGTTAATCTTGCAAAGACTTCTGGACTAGATAGATCTTGTCTGTCCTGTTCAGAAGCAACTCACTGTGAAATGGTATATGAGTGAGGTTGCATGAGTTCTGACCCGTGCATACTGCAATTCAGCAATCTGTTCTGTCTGGGATTTAAGAGAAACAGGTTTTAACCACCATCCCCCCCCCCCCCCGCAAAAAAAAACACCCAGGTACATAGCTTTAGGCCAGACACTCTTGCTTAGACTGGCTATCTCACAAGTTGCTGCTAAAAGAATAATATGGAGCAGTGAATAGTGTCTGCCATGTGGAACTTGCTACAGAAACAAATTAATTAAATAAAAAACAATCCTCTTTTTTAGCCTGAATGTTTGCTGGAAGCATTCACAAGTACAGCTGTCCATGAAAAAGCAGCCAAGTAATGTGGTATTTCACTAATGTGGTTTTAGGCTTTTGCACATGTAGCTTTTATAAGTAAAGGCTTCTCTTCTATAGGCAATGAAGCTGTATACACAAGTGTCAAATGATGGGGCAGAACAAGAAAGCATGCCCTCAATAATGATCTCTTAAAAATTCCTAGCTGAGTATTGACTGATAGCTTAAAAATAAAATTCATCACATTCCTGAATGGAGGTGTATATGAAATTTGGGTCTCTCCTCCAGCAAATATGTTAGTGCATATAGAAAGTGAAGGCATAAATATGTTTGGGTCGATTTATCCACTGATCAATGTAAGTATTCTATGTTAACTCTTATATTTAAAAAGTAACAATCCTCTTCTTTTGAGTGGTAAAAGATGAGAGGTCAGCAAATACTGGGATGACTAAAAAGAAGTACTGATTCCACTCTATCACTATCACACTGCTTCTAGCCTTTCTGAATGTTTGGGAAGAGAACACTGTAGCACTGGTCCATTCCCCTCTCTACAGAATGACTCTTGACTTTTGTACAGGTCATGTCAAAATCTGGAATCTCGCCCCAGGAATTTGTCCTTGATCTATGAGGTCAACTTATACACAAGTATATATGGTAAGTATCCCTTATCCATAACTTTAACCTGCTCAACAACTGTCCAAAGATGGTTTTGATACTTACATGTACATAAACATTGTTTCATTTACCAGTAATTAATTAATTTATTTACTTCATTTATACCCCGCCT